GGTTCGTCCACCAGTCCTTCTCCCAGCCCCCAGATTCTTACAAGAAGTGAACTAAATATGCCGTGGTCTTGTCCTATGTCAATGCCCTGTCCTCTGCTCATAATTTGAATAGTCTAATCTCAAGTCTGAAGACCAAAATACGTGCCTTCCCCCTACAAATGTGAACATCACACATGTGGAGAAGCAGCAGAGGTCGCCACTTTCTTCCACCTTTCCAGTTTCCGCTTGCAGACTGCTCTGGTACGTGCAGCAGTGGTCAGCTATGGCACTGGACTGGCGCCGGGGTCATTGCATTGTGGGCAATGTTTTGTCCCACCACTGAGTTCAGCGAGGCTTCCTCCTAACCCAGCGTAGCTAGGACTGCAGTTTTGAATTACGCCACCTATTTTGTTAGGGCAACATATCGCAGGACAGGGGTAAGATGGGCTCTGAGAGAGTTTGGGGGTCAGAGCAAGTCCAAACGCTCTCCTGACATGCTCCTAAGACTGCCCATTTAGGCCCCTCTTTGGAAGACTGGGAAAAAAAAAACATACTGTGATTACATGAACAAACAAGCAGGTAAATATATTCAGGTGTAATTAACCGATCTTGTACAGATTCCTTTTACCCATTCTGTTGTTGCTGTGCTATAATTATTACATAAGCTTACACCTGGGTTACAGAATTGTTCAGTAAAAGTGTGATTTGTGTGGCCCTCAGGACTCTCAACAGGAAATGCTAATAAAGCTGTTCTCTTCCTTATAGGTAAAAACAGCTTTGTCTGTTGAAACAATGGTGGCTGTCATAATGAGTCAGTTATCTAAGATGAAAGAACAAGCAAACAAACATTTTCTGGGAAATGCCTTCCTCATCTCCTTCAGCAAAAATGCAGGTCAGGATCCAGAATAAAACCAAGCCCTACCTTGTAGTAACAAGAATAGATGAAAGGAAAATACATGCCATCCTGAAATCAGTTTCTCCAGCAACCGTTCCCCAACAACATCTGTTAGCTTCATGGGTGTTGGATGACAGTCCCAGGGGCAATGTGCATATTTTTGGATATTTGGTGGTCCAGTCTGATGCAGGGCTACTTCCAAATGTATGTGTATAATGTCATTCTTAGTGCTGAAACCATTTATCTATTTCCTTATACGTATATTCTTCTATAATATGCATTTCTTGTAATATTGGGGCTTATAATACATTTTGTGAAGATATCCCATTAAGTTTTCTATTTTTAACTTACTGCTTCAAACTTTTAACAGTTTGTTATCCAAAATAACACATTAAGTGAGCAGCCCTGTGCAAGTTTAGACAGAAAATAGTCCTGTAATTCTAGCTGTAGGACTGTTTTCTGGCTATGCATGCACAGGATTGCATTCTGATGGTCAGGTGAGGAGGGCATAGGATTTTTTGGAGGCCCAGCTTTGAGGTCTTGTGAGCTTGGTGCTGGGACTCTGAGGGCCAAGCCTTGTCCCTGCCACCACCAGCACAGAAAGAACCACATCAGGTACCTCTCTGGGGTTACAATGGTCCTTTGTCGTCCAGAGAGGTCCTTGGAGAAGCAGGGAAGGGGAATGCCATGGGAGCAGGAAGGGAAGGAGGCTGGGGCCACCACCTCGCGCCAAATCCAAATTCTGCCCCTCTGCATTGCATCTTCAACACAGCCAAAACTGGCCACCTGGATGAAATGCAGAGTACAAGATGTGACCCTGACAAATATTACTGCTTGGATGCACACAAGGTTTCAAGTTCACGGGGTACAGGACTGTACTCTAAATGGATCGAATGGAGTTTCAAGATGTCTGCATTTGAACATGCTTAATGATAGCATTTTCTAGGAATGTATTAAATAAACACCATTGTGATCAAAGGAGAAAATCCCTAAACCGCATTTCATATAATGAACTCTTGCATGATTCAGGGCTATAGATGCTTCTGATCCTGGCACAGATGTGTTGACTGAATAACGGAAGTAGAAAGAAAAATAGATACTACTGGCAGAACGGCATTCCACTGCTCTGAAATAGTTTACTAAGCAGCCCCCTAAGTGCCCACATCATTTTTGTTCCTAATCTGTATCATGTACACAGATGAATTTACGCCTTTTGAAACGTTCCCTGCAATCTTCTAGACACATTACCCTTTACACAAGCAAGCCCCACTGAACCCAGGGGGATTTAATTCTGACTAAACACACTCATGATTGAACAGACTGACAAAGGACTTACGAAGGAAACAGAAAGTATGTAGTGGAAGTGGAATTTGAGTAATGCAAACATCTGTCATCACTTGATTGTAAAATATAGTGATCTCTTTATAAGAGAGCCATCCATAAGGAGCAATATTTGCATTCTTACTTGGAGAGCTTCAGTGTCATTTCGTTAGAAAGCTGATGGAGGCAAACTATACTTATTCCAATTAAGAATAGCTTAGCACAACACATGACTTCCAGTTATCAGTCAAAATGAACTTACAATTGTGTGCCTCCTGTTTCAAGATGGGGGCACTAAGACACACTCAAGATTGCATGCAAACAGTATTCCAAAGTGAAATGATAGGCAGAAGAAGGTATCAGATCAAGGCATGCAAGTAAGTGATCTAGAAGAATCTGGGACGTATCCTGAACCAGGTTCCTCTGGTAAAACCTTTTGCAGAGATGGCTCAGCTTTCCCAGTTGAACACAACCCTAATTCTTTGGCTTCACCTACAGAGAAGAGTATTGCTATGCATTTGTGTAAGCTAGAGGTTTTGTTCCTTCACTGTCTAGAACATAAGGTTACTAGAAGGGTAGCACAGGTTCTGCGTCAGAAAAACGTTGCATATTCAAAAGGGTACACCCGGTGTATGTGGGTGATACCACCACAGGTCTATTGATGTAGGCAGCATGAAAGATGTCTTGGTATTTGTAATTAGTCACAGAGAACAAGGATGCTTCTTTAGAACATGGGAACAGCTGTGCTGCATCAGACTCGAGACTTATCCAATTCAGCATCAGTACATAAGAAAGGTCATGCTGGATCAGACCAATGGTCCATTGGATCCAGCACTCCATTCACAGGATTCCCAGAGGTCAACCAAAAGCCTATGGGCAAGGAGGACACTAGCGCAATACAGCTATGTTCCCCATCAGCTGGCACTGAATGTCATACTAGGGACACGCACTGACTTTCTGTGCGCTGATTTCTGTGTCTACAGTTGCTCAGCAATGTATGACTCTAAAACCACTACAAAGTTTGAGAGTTCTCTCCGGCAGTCTCATCAATCCTGCAAACAGAGGAGGTAGACAAGTTTGGGTTTGAACTTTTTATTTACAGTTGAGTCACGATGACTGTACACACCAACTTTCATTCCACAATCTTATTTTCACTTTTTTCTCTTCCTTGGAAAACACACATGAGGGTCAACCAAATGTTCAAATGAAAAAGTATTACATAAATATACACATCTTTCACTGCAATACTTCTGTCATGAAGGAGGGGCGTGGTGATTTTCTTTTTCCTCCCAAGACTAGAAGTTGGGGACATCGAAATGGCTGATCCAGACAAAAGGAAGCGCTCCTGTGCACGGCACGCCATTCATTTATACAATTCACTGCCATAAAACCTGGTGCTGCCTACAAGCTACAATGGCTTCAAAAGAAAATTCATAGACAAAGGGTCTATCAGAGGTACTACTCAAGGTGTCGGCAGAATCAAGGTTCAGGGGCAGTATTGCACAGAGGACCATCTGCTGGGGAGCAACCATGAGAGAGCATGGCTGCCTTCGCATCCTGCTCACAGCATCTGCTTGGCCGCTGCAGGAATAGGTTGCCGGATGAGATCCGACATTTGGTCACATCTGGAACTGTCCCATGTACTTCAAGACAGGTAGCACTTTGCAGCACGCATTCCTCCCAAGCTTCTTGACAAGGAGTGCAGCAGTTGAGAACTTGAAATAGAGTAGTTGTAGCGTTTGATGCTCTTTTCCCAAACGGGTATCTAACTGGATGTCCTGTGCAACCCTTGCCTCTTTCCTCTTGCTAAATATGCAAAAGCAGTTTCTGGAGAGTGAAGAGTACAACTGGCTGGAGGGGACTGAGAAATCCCTTACACCAACTTCCCTAATCAAATGTGCATCCTTCCAGAGGCAAGCTCTAGTTTGACACTTATGTTTAAAAGAAGAAAAAAAACACTCCTGAAATTCTGTAGAGCATGCCCCCCAGAATCTGGGCATGTGCAATATTTGGAAGAAAACCTCCAAATATGGATATCCTTGTTGTTAAAGTCATTTGACAGCTGTGAGTAAAGTGTGTCAGCACAAGGTACCAGGAGCTGATTTTTTTTCTGTACTGCTTTATATTTACTAAGCTTTCCAGAAAAACAGTGAAACTAGCCAAGCTGCTTCTCTTCCTTATCCCTTAAAAATCCCCCCCACACTTCTCATCTTCCCCTCCCAAGCGGAAACTCTCCATTCACATAAGCCATGTGTGCACACGGGCGTGTTTGCATGCACTCGCGTTGTTTCCATCATGCTTATTCCTCTATGTAGGAAACATTAATTTTCAAATTTAGACGCCGCTCAAGAGCCCGATTTACGGGCTCCTCCTGTCAGCGGCTTCTGCAGGGCTCTACCGGATACGAAGCCACGAGCGCGCCTGCGATGAGCGCACACACCGGATCAAGCCTCTTCCCAGGCAGATCCCCGTTTACGCGGCCGTTTCGCTTAGACGCGCTTCCGCGCCGCTGATCAGGCCGGCGTGCTTGCCGCCGCTGTCGCTTTGCCGCCTCCCGACAGGAGGGTCATCCCGCCCGGCGCGGACACGCGCGCGCCGGGCGCTTCCCCACGACCCCGCGCGGGACTCCCCGCTCGGCGCGCCGCGTGCTTCGCGCCGGGCCTGGCGGCTCCCGGGCAGCCCCCGCCGGGCGGAGCCGCT